CGATTTTTCATATTCTTTTTACGCCCCTACCAACAATAACAGAACTTACTTAGCAAAGAATATAGATATAGGGAAGTTAACATTTTTGAAGAGAGGAGGAAAACGAGAAGTCTTTTATATATTTTGCAATTTGTTTTGATACACTTATTTTTCTGGTTTTGATTGCCGAGTGATATATTTCGATAGAAAACTACCTGAAAAATGTTCAACTAAAAATAATTAATTACTATTAAAATAAACTAAGAGAAACATAATTAATAAACCTCAAAACTAATAGAGGCTTGAAATAATTAAACTGATGGATTAGCATTCAACAACAAATTAAACCCAATACATGAATTGAGACAATTACTTGTTACTTTTAAAGGCACTTGTGATAGCTAGAATAGTCTGTATAGTTGTGAGTAGGAGGAGTATGATGGCTGTCATAGTTGAAGCTCCTACCCAAGGACTACTAAAATAATTATGCTTCAAATTTGCCTTCATTCTGTTCCATGGTTTTTCACTATATTCAATTGCTTGTCTGAATTCCAGATCGTAATAGAAGTTGGGATACGTCGGGACGACCCCATTTCCAATTTTGTTGAAGAGGCTAGCCACGCTTTTGTCATCTGCGATACAGTTCACTATGATTCCTTTCTGGCGAAGCAAATTCACATCTTTGTCTGAGTCGATAAGATGATCCATGAAAATTGCATAATTACTGAAATATGAAGGATTTACATTTGATTGTTGCTCATAAGCAATGAGATTTCGTAGGAGCGTTTCTGTACCATGCTCGACTCGAAAACAAGGAATTCTCATCAATCCATTATCGAATTTTATATCCAATAATTTTGTGGTATCAGAGCTGACGTCTGCAAAGCTAACTCCAGCTTCGGAAAGCTCTGTTGCATTTTGCATGACCTTATGATACATTATTTGATGGTCTACATTTTTCGTTGGATTCCCATCACATAACAATATGTGTACTAGATGAAGTAAATGTTTGATATCTCCTGTGATACTTCCTATCAGTCTAAAGGATGCACGAAATATTTTTAGCGTGTCTACGAAACGGGTAAACGCATTATTCACCAGTACTGCCAGTGGTGATTCATAATCTTTTTTTGTCAAGTGATAAAGTTGGTCGAGGACAAAGAAAGGAAGTTGATTTTCTAATAACATCAAGTCTCGGAATATGTAACTTGCATCATTAGTAATGATAATCATGTCTTTTTCTTTTGGAAGCTGCTCTACCTCATACCAACGCTCTCGAATAAACTCAACCACAAAACAGCCATCAAGCAACAACATTTGGCAAAATTCATGACTATTATCTTCTATATCTTCATAACACTTGAGTGCTTCCTCCTTCAGTATCTGCAATTCACTGGTGCAAAATTCCACATCAAGCTCCTCTTTTCGTTGAAGAAATCGCCGTAGGTACAATAGTTTGTACTTTTCCATTGGACGAAGTTGAGGATTTTTCCTATGGTAAGGACCAATAGAGACCATCTTTGGTGTGTAAGCATCTGGATTTGATTCACGTAGCCGCACATTTACTTTGAATATGCTATTCGATTTAAAAGATGATTTGTCCAAATCCTCAAACATTTTATCAAAGATTTGATTTACATGTTTCTTTGTTTGCGACCCTGATGGATCTTCATCGTTTGTTTCCTTGATCTGCATTTAAAGAAGTTGTGCATATATACCTCGTCGTTTAACAAATTATCTATACTTACCTTTTTCGTTAACAAGACGAATTTTTTTTTTTAAAAAAAACAACTTAAAACTGCTTTTTTTAATTATAAAATGTCAACAAGACTTTATAAACTTACTTCACCCGACCTATTTTCTTTATCCCTCCAAACCCAACTCAAATTTTAAAAAAAATCCATAGTTAGTGAATATGTTAGGATCATAAAGTAGACCTAAAATCACAATAGTCTAAAAAATTCTATATTTAATTGCCAAAAGAAAAGTAGGTTAATGAAATAAAAAAACTAAATTGATAAGAGAGATACCTCATCTTTTTCAGTTTGAAGAAGCAGTGGAGTTTGGTTATCTATTGAGGTAATCTCAATGGAGTGTGCCATCCCTCTTTCTTCAATTCTAATTCCTACAAAAAAAAACATTTTTTTTAATTTCAATAAAAACTACGAAAATGTCGATAGAATTTCTTCTAACAACAATTTTCATGTCAAATACGTGAAAATCAAGCCATTAAAAATTTTATTGTCTAAAACATGTTTAATAGGAACATTTTATACATAATACAAGTATTCAATAGGTATAATATTTAGTAAAGTAATTAAATGAAAAACACAGGACAAATTTAAAGGGCATTTTCTTGTTGCCCTTACTAGTAGTCATAGGACTATATATATTCTTGTAGTTTCTTGCTCTTCGATTTTTATTGCTATTTATGATTTCATATAGTTTAATGATAATATTATTTTACTGTAATACTATTTTGCTATACTATCGAAAATAGCCTCTTTATCTCAGGCAAGATCTGTGTACACTCTATCCTCCCAGACTCCACTTTGTGGAACTACGTATGTTGTGTTGTTGTTGTTATGTAAGAGTCACATGTAGAAGTTAGAACACGATACTAAGTATACTTTCGTAGAATTTTAATTTGATAAAAACTCTCTAAACGCTTTTACAAATTAAAGAAGTGATGAATCAAGGAGATATGAAAGACGAAAATAATAAAGTTCTATTCCATTATTTTATAGTAATGTATAAATATGGAGTTAAACAAAGATAAACAAATTAAAACGGAGGAGCTCAAAAATTGAGTCTACTAAAATTAAGTATCCATCAAATAAGAGAAATTTAAATCATATTAAAAGAAAGATATCAAATATCTTGCAGCTTACTATACTCAAATTGATAGAATACCTTGTAACTCAATAGTTAAGAACTAATTTGGTTTCAATATGAGTAGCATATTAGTAGGTTTTGGAGATGGAACTTTAGGTACAATTGAGACAATTACTATATACTTACTTATTAAGGACATTTATCTAGAATGCTGGTTACTAAATACCTATATTATATTATTGCCATTAAATATAATATAGTATTATCACAAAATTATTTATTTGTTATAGTGTATTGGATGGAATGTTGTATAAGACATTTACCTGATTCAAAATGGACTAGTTGGAGTGTACTTGAGTTTCTTCTTAAATTCTTTTGCTCTGCTTAACTTTTATGAAGATGAAGGAATATGAGAGATGGTGAATATAAAATTCTTATATGGGTATACTATATATAGATTAATTTTTCTTTAATTTGTGTAATTGCAAACCTGCATACATTACTAACATGAAATAGTGTGCATTTTGAGAAAAGTATCTTAGAATAAATTAAGCTTTAGTATCATAGAATAAAGTGTATATAGACATTACATTTACGAAAACATATCATAGAATAACATTTTGAGTGTGTGTTCAAGCCACTATTTATTCTAAAATTTGATATCAAGTATAATTGAAGAACAACACTTTTAGGGTAAAACATATCATAGAATAACATTTTGAGTGTGTGTTCAAGCCACTATTTATTCTAAAATGTGATATCAAGTATAACTGAAGAACAACACTTTTAAGGTGTGTTCAGTATGATGGAAGATTTGTTATTTTTTCTGAATAATATGTGATTTTCTTATTTATTTTTAATATTTGATAAATAAGTTGAATATAATATTTGTATAAAATTTGAGCAAGCACAATTAAGGTCGGCATGGGGTTAAGGATGTGAGGGCAGTGGGGATGAGGACTATGAGATTGGTACGTACATAGGCGTATTCAAAATTTTAATAGGTGCATTATTTTGAAAAGGACGATCTATGATATATTTTCTTAGATTGGAGAGAAGACACCATTTTGTGTAGTTGATTTTCCTCTTTAAGAATCTGATCCAAGAATTGACAATATGCTCCGTTTCACTATACTTGCCTTTTGGGGTGGGCATTCAGTATTTGATTTGGGATTTTCGAATTTTGTTTGGTAATTCGGTTATTAGTAGTTAAAAATAGATATCAACTATCAGCTTTTTAAATTTTGGTTCGATAATTCGGTTACCTTTAAATTAAACTTTGGTTTGGTATGGTATTTGGTAATACCCTATTGAAGTTACAGCCAATTCTATCACAAAGTTAATACTATTTATCCAATTATTTTAATTGTTTTATGTGGAGGCACAATATAATAGAAGATTAAAAGTAAGAAGGTATTAAAAAAAAATATACACAACTAACAAGTAAGAAGGCATAGAAAAAAAAAATTACCTCCACTCGTCGTCCGGGCTTTTGAGTTATTTGTTCTTATTCTCACTCAAGTGATATAGGGAGGGAAGTTAACATTTTTGAAGAGGAAGAAAACGTGATGGAGTTTTTGTGACTACATAAATGTAACTTAAAATATACTAATTATTATACAAATTTGATATGATTTGACTATTACTTCAAAATTCAATGAACTGTGACTGAATTTCATGCCAAAATTAGATTGATTCTTACTCAAATTTTAGATACAAATTCCCCTCGATATTCCTATTCTTTTGAGATATGACCATCGAAAATGAAGTTCGTTTGTAGCAAATCAACTTTTTGAACTTCTAAACCCAAAATTCAATCTTCTTTTATCCTCCATTGTTCAGATCAGTTACAACTTACAACAACCAAAAAGGGAAAACAAGCTAAAAGCTTTATGCATTTTGATAAAAAGTAACTACGTTTGGGGCTCGAAAAATAATCAACTACAAATATAGGAATCAAAGGATTTATGAAAAAAAGTTATCTATTATTTAGACAATTCATTTTGTAATTCAGTTATAATTAATTCCTTAATTAAGACATACAATTAGTAATCCCCAAGATTGATAGATACTTGAAATAAACAAATTAACATTTAGCTATAAAAACCCAATACAAAATAGAATTAATGAAAAACTCATAAGAAAATTACATGAATGTAGTTGTGAGGAAACACTAGAATTACTACTTACTTAAAGGCACTTATGATAGCTAGAATAGTTTGTATAGTAGTGAGTATGAGGAGTATGATGACTGTCATAGTTGAAGCTCCTACCCAAGGACTACTAAAATAATTGTGCTTTAAACTTGCCTTCATTCTGTTCCATGATTTTTCATCACAATGTTTAACTGCTTTTGTGAATACTTCTTTGTAATAGAAGTTGGAATAAACAGTGACCCCGTTTCCGATTTTGTTGAAGAGGCTAGCCACTTCTTTGTCCTCTCCTATCCAGTTTGCTATGATTCCTTTATGGCGAAGCAAACTCACATCTTTATCTGTGTCGATCAATTGATCCATAAAAATTGCATAATCACTGAAATATAAATATTGTAAATCAATTGATTGTTGCTCATAAGCAATGAGATTTCGTAGGAGGGTTTCGGTATCATCTACCACGTCAAGAGATGATATTGTCATCAATCCATTCTCAAACTTTATATCAAATAAACTTGTCGTCTGATTGAACTTTGCAAATCTAACTCCAGCTTCAGAAAGCTCTGTTGCATTTGGCATGACCTTATTCCACTTGGTGTCATTGTCGTTTGACGATTTCCCGAAATTCCTCGGACATGAAACAGTGTGTACTAATTGAAGTAAATGTTTCATATCACGTTCAGATAGAAATAAATTCATCAGACACGAAACAGTACCGGTTACTGACATAAATCCCAAGTTAACAACATGGCTAAACAAAGTGATCGCCAGTTCTTCCAATTGAAATTCATCATGTTTCACTGTTAAGTCATGCAGCTTGTTGAGGATAAAGAAAGGAAGTTGGTTTTCTAGTAACAACAAGTCTCGAAGTATTTGATTATATTTGTAATCAACAAAATTGATAATTTTGTCTTCTCCTTCTTCTGCATATTTTTCAGAACACTCACGAATAAATTCAACCACAAAACAACCATCAAGCAACAACATTTTGCAAAATTCATGACGGTTATCAATATCGAGGCCTTCTATATCATCGTAACACTTTAGTGCTTCCTCCTTCAGTTCCTCCAATTTACCGATCCAATATTTCACATCGAACCCCTCTCTTCGTTTCAGAAATCGTTGTAGGTATAATAATTTGTACTTTTCCATTGGACGAAGTTGAGGATTTTTCCTATGGTAAGGACCAATAGAGACCATCTTCGGTGTATAAGCATCTGGATTTGATTCACGTAGCCGCACATTTACTTTGAATATGGTACACGATTTAAAAGATGATTTGTCCAAATCCTCAAACATTTTAGCAAAAATTTGATTTATACATTTCTTTGTTTGCGACTCTGATGGATCATTTGTTTCCTTTTTGTCGCTTAATTGATGCATTTTCCTTCCTTTTTCTATCTGTAATGGAAGGGCGTAAGAAATTTTCAAATGTTTATTAAAAGCACTATTTTCTTAACAATATTCTTCGTAGTTTAATAAATTATGCATATTTACCTTTTTTTATTAACAATATAAATTAAAAATAATAGCGTCAAACTGTTTTTACTTAGCGAATATGTTAGGATTGTGAGGTAGACCTAAAATTAAAGAGTATCAAAAATTCTATATTTAATTGCCAAAAGAAAAGTGGGCTAATGAAATAAAAAAAGCAATAAATATCATAAAATACTTATGATACGCTCATCTTTTTCAGTTTGAAGAGGCAGTGGAATTTGATTATCTATTGAGGTACTCTCAATGGAGTGTGTCATCCCTTTTTCTTCAACAACAGACACATTCTTTGTAATTTCAATTTCTAAATATCACGGCTATTATTTTATTATTAATTCAAAAGCAATATATTGATTTGAAATGAAAAAAAAACAAAACAAAGCAATAAATATCATAAAATACTGAAATAGAATTTTAAAAATAAAAAATCAGAAAGGATACACTTATTAAATTAATTGAAAACACATGAGCTCGACGAAATTCTTTTGAAGAAAAGAACAAAAAAAAAATACAGAAAATATCAAGTGAATTTCTTCTACCAACTATTTTTATGTCAAATGCGTGAGAATCAAATGTTTAAAAACTATATCGTCAAAAACATAAGGTGGACACTGTGTAATTAATTCAAGTAATCAATAGGTATAATCTACAAGGTGGACATTGTGTAATTACTTCTTCCTCGTTAATTAAAGGCTTCATAAAGTAACTATCAAATTAAATATGAATTGACAATTAATAAAAAAATAAAATAACAATGACCAAGAATCTTATAAATAAAAAATAATTATTCATCTGAGTCGATCATGCTCTTCAATTTGAGGTGCATAATAATAACATTAATTGATAGTGTTTAGCATAGCCGAGAAAGTGAACAAAATTACCTCTTTGGTTTGGCTGTTTCTTCTTTTGTTCTACTCAACTCTTGCTTCTCCTGGATTATTCATTGCTATGAAGTATCTATTAAATAGAGAAAAGAAATACAGATAATTAAAGATACTATCTAGATACGTGTAGGGTAGGGGGTATCAATGTTAGGTTCAATCGATTATTTTATAAAATTTGAATCATATCAATTTTTTATTATCTTGCTTTACATCATTAAAATTAAGCATTCGAATTCTCTTTGATACCTATATGGTTTAGTTAATTTTTATATTTTTTTTTGTTAAAACATTATAGAAAGAAGGTGTGGAGGATACTGTCACGCCCCGAGCCTACACCCTGGGCGGGACCGGCACCCGGAGACCATTTCTGGCCCCAAGCGAACCCTTGGCCTGGCTTTCTTAACTCAGCGGAAACCTAACTCAACAGAATAACTCAAGCGATGCAATATTACAAAAACAACTTAACTTATACAATTCTGGCCATAAAGGCACCTCGGGTCTCAAAATAGAGTATTTACATATATACATAGATAAGAGACTCAAAACTAGCTGACTGACTGTCTATCTGTCTATCTATGAAGCCTCTAAATTACTGAGATGGATGTTGGGACAGACCCCGCAACATCCTAATAAGACAAAACTAAGAACACGAAATAATAGAGTCCTCCGGAAAGCAAGGAGGCTCACCACTGACTCTGGAGTGCTCAGCTGGATCAACGACGCACAGGCTGCTGATCTGGGATACCTGGATCTGCATCATGAAACGATGCAGGCCAAATGGCATCAGTACATGGAATGTACGAGTATGCAAGCTGGAAAGCTAAGCAACAACGGCTAGAAGGAAACCTGGGAGAAACTGAATAGCTTACCTGGCTCAACTCAACTCCACATGACTGACTTCTTTCAATATAAGGCAATTTAAAACAAGTGCGATATAAAGAAAGACTGTTTAAAACATGCTATAAACTCTGTGTGTATACAAAGATACAATAAGCCTGAAATGTATATAGAAATACAATGAACTGATGTATATAAAAATACAATAATCTCTGAGTATGAAAATACAATAACTGCGGTGGGAGTTTCTCTAACCGACAACCATCACATAAGAGCTATAGTGATGATACAGCGATCGACCTCACGCTGCCAGAGCATCTTATACCCGGCCAAAGGTATAAGACCTGAAATGCCTAATGGATCCACTCGTCTAATATGAAAAGGATTCATCTAAAAAGTATGATCCTTTTCTACCCATGGTGGCTAACATGGTTCTATGGGGGCTGTGGGTTCTTTGAACGCTCCCCCAATTCGGTGCTCGATACTACTCCCAAAAATGTACTGGCTCTTATGTTTTGAAAACATATTTATTCCTGCTGATATGAGATAATTACTCAAAAACTAGCCCGAAGGCTCTTTTGGAAATCTCAGTTTCCAACCTTGTTTAAATGTAAAAACATTTCTTTAAAACTCCTTTGGGAATACATAGTTCCCTAATGACTTTGAGAAAAGAACTCAACTTTAAACTCTTGACTCTTGACTTAACTCGAAACTCGATACTCTTTACTCGACTTGAAACTATATGCTCTTTACTCTTTACTAAACTTGAAACTTGAAACTCTTTACTTAGCTTGAAACTCTATACTCTTTGCTTGACTTGAAACTCTATACTTAACTTGGAACTTGAGCCTTAGAATGAAGTTAAAACGTTCAATGAAGACTCTTTAAAAGCTTTAAAGACTTGCTTAACTTCTAAGCTTGGTCCTAACTCCACTTGACTTCTAACTTCACTTGACTTGATCCTAACTTTCTTGAATTTAATTATGGATTCAAGGACTTGATTGGTGTTTGGAAGGACCTCATGATGTTTAGGAATGATTTGGGACAGCCAAACTAAAGAAAATCTTCGAACATAAATTCTGAAAACAGTGGAGTCCGCGTCCTGTCCGCGACGCGGAGAAGATTTTGTTCACAGAGGGAACAAGTCCGCGACGCGGACGTGCTCCTCGCAAGCTGCCCGACTTTCTCCTTCACGTCTCCAACTCTAAATCCTCTAACCTCAAGGGTTCCAGTCCCAATCACTTAGAAACATAATATCCCTCAACATTCAATAGAATACCACTCAAAAACACAATCCAATCATGTTCCACAACCCACAATAATTCCACAACAACAACAACCAACTTTAACAACATAACCAAACCTTTCTTAATGAATAGAAGGAACTAGGTGTGTGGGGGAAAGGATCACCCAACACTAAAAGCTCACATACCTTGGTAGGGATCACCCCCGACGAAAATCCACGATGATCTCCTTGCTTGATCTCCTCTTCTTCTCTTCTTCTCTTCTTCCTCTCTTCTTCTTCTCTCAAAACCCTCACTCTCACTTCTTTTAAAATGGTAAAACTGATCAAAATGATCAGCCTAACACATTTATATAACCAAAATAAAAGGCTAGGGAAAAGACCAAAATGCCCTTAATGATTCCCGGACGGATTTCCTTGCCAACTGCCCAACTTTCAATGGCCATAACTCGCTCATACGGACTCGGAATTGAGCAAACTCGGTGGCGTTAGAAAGATCATTCCGAGTGCTATGCAACCATAACTGGAAATACTTCTAACTCATCATGAGCTAGAAGTTACAACTGATCAAAGTTGGCCAAAAACTCACCTTTTCCATACTTAGCCAAAATTTCCAAAACTTTAAATTCTTTCCAAAAATGAAAATTTCCAATTCTAAGCCTCTTCAATTATTTCACATTGCCGGATGTTACAGATACAAATTAGGGCAAAAAGTTAGTAGGTAGGAGTGCGACCATATATACTAGTAAGGACTGCATTTTCTTGTTGTCGTTACTAGTAGTCATAGGACTATTCTTTTAGTTTCTTATTCTTCGCTTTTTATATAGTTTCATATAGTTCAATTATAGTATTATTTTACTGTAGTACTATTCTGCTATGCTATTTGTTATTTTTTACTATCTATTATTGCCTCTTATACTTAATTTCATTACCTTTTTTTTTCTAAATTATTTTTTATCTTGAGCCGAAGATTTATCGAAAATAACCTCTTTATCTCAACTTTGAAGTAGAGGCAAGCTAGGTTTGTGTACACTCTACCCTCCCAAACCCCATATGTTGTGTTGTTGTTATGTAAGAGTCACAAGTAGAAGCTAGAACACGCTATTAAGTATACTTTCGTAGAATTTTTATAAAAACTCTCTAAACGCTTCTACAATTTAAAAGTGATGAATCAAAGAAATACGAAAGAAGACAATATAGAGATCCATTTCAAGAACCGGGTCAATTAATTAAAATTAAGTATCTAATAAAAAAAAATTAAATCATATCCAAAGAAAGATATCTAACATCTAGTAGCTTATAACTATCAAGTTAATTAATAGAATACCTTGCAATTCAAGATGTTATAACTAATTTAATTTCAATATGATTAGTAGCATATTAATAGGTTTAGGAGGTGGGACTTTATGAATAAATTAATTTTCTTTTGACTTGTAGTCATTTTCATCACCCCAGATCAGAGACAAAATATTTAATATTTTATTATTTCCAAATTTAGTATATAAAATATATTTTATATATAAATTTATTCAATTCAACACTTTATTTTGTGGCCTTTTAATACAAAAATGCTCTTTGCCGACAATAATTTTTTTTAAAAAAAATCCATTGACTCAAGTCAATGACTATATATATTCCACGATATTTCACGTTTAAGTACGAAAAAAGAAAGTTAGGTGTAAAATTAATATTACGAAACTAGGGTAGTTGAGTAGGTGCATTAATATCACAACAAAGTAAAAATATATTATTTAATTAAGCTCCAAGACTATTTTATTTCTAGGTCTCCTTCTGGGTAAATTAATTACATAGTACATGAGTAGAAAAAGGACGATAAAAGGCATTTTATCAAAATCAATGCACTACTTGGTCAATATTTAACACTTACATGTAACTTGCCTTCTCTTTTAGAGACAAATATAGTACTTTATTCACAAATTCAATAATTTTCTCATTAAATTAAGTTTCACATGATTTTTTTATAAACACTATTTACAAGTTGTTTAATTACCGTTACTCCTACCGACTTAATGATTATCAAGAATAAGTATTCAAACTTGTTATTTTATCAAAATCAAGATTAAATTAATTATTTTTGTCTCATTTAACCCTTTAATATTGTATATTCTTAAAATAAGATTAAGTTAGTTGTCCTTGTGAAAATGACCATTTATAGTTAATAAAATTATTTTATTTTCCTATCGTTAGGTAACAATGTCCTTTCTATCACCCCAAAATGAATTACGTTACAAAAAAAAAGGAGATATATACGATGCAATGCATAGTTATAAATACA